GAGACAGAGTCTTGCTCTGTTGCCAGGCGCCAGGCTGGAGTACAGTGGCGCAATCTGGGTTCACTGCAATCTCCGCCTCCCGGGTTCAAGCAATTCTCCTGCCTCAGCCTCCCTCCCGAGTAGCTGGGACTACAGGCGCATGCCACCACGCCCAGCTGATTTTTGTATTTTTTTTTTAGTAGAGACGGGGTTTCACCATGTTGGCCAGGATGGTCTCGATCTCTTGACTTTGTGATCCGCCCACCTCAGCCTCCCAAAGTGGGGCTTGGATTTATGATGGGCCCATCCCCTGGGCTTCTCATAGGACCTCATGCCAGAGCAAACTAGCCCCAAACCATTGCCTGGCCTCTGTGACCGTACGCTGCTGGCACTGAAGCGGGCTACACAGTAGAAAAAATAAAAATAATAATAAAGTAAAAAAAGAAAAAAAATGCAAATTTCTGTGTTCATAAGTAAAACTTTATTGAAACCCAATCATGGCATTTGTTGACAAAAAGAATGAAACTGTAAAATACTTAAAGAGGTAAATTCTGAGCCAAGTACGAGTGACCACTGCCCTAGGCACAGTCTCGCTCTCTTTTTCTTTGAGACAAAGTCTCACTCTGTCACCCAGGCTGGAGCCATCTCGGCTCACTGTAACCTCCACCTCTCTGGTTCAAGAGATTCTCCTGCCTCAGCCTCTGGAGTAGCTGGGATTACAGGCGTGGGCCACCACATCCTGCTAAATTTTGTATTTTTAGTAGTGATGGGGTTTCGCCACATTGGCCAGGTTGGTCTTGAACTTCTGACCTCAGGTGATCCGCAGGGCCTGGGCCTCCCAAAGTGCTGGGATTACAGGCGTGAGCCCGTATGCTACCCTGGCTCCCACCCTGTGGAGTGTACTTTCATTTTCAACAAATCTGTGCTTTTGTTAACCTTTATTCTTTCCTTGCTTTGTCTGTGAGCTTTGTCCAATTCTTTGTTCAAGATTCCAAGAACCTGGACACCTTCAACAGCCCACAGGCAGTAGTTTGCGACTCACTGAAAATCATTTTTCAGGCCAGGGCGGTGGCTCACATCTGCCATCCAAGCACTTTTGGAGGCTGAGGCGGGTGGATCGCTTGAGGTCAGTAGTTCGAGACCAGCCTGGTTAACATGGTGAAACCCTGTCTCGACCAAAAATACAAAATTAGCTGGGCGTGGTGGCCCATGCCTGTAATCCCAGCTGCTTGGGAGGCTGAAGCACAAGAATCGCTTGAACCTGGGAGGCGGAGGTCGCGGTGAGATTGGGCCATTCCACTCCAGCCTGGGTTACAGAGTGAGACTCCATTTCAAAAAAAAAGGGGGGGGCCAGGCGCCGTGGCTCCCTCCTATAATCCCAGCACTTTGGGAGGCCGAGGCAGGCCGATCACAAGGTTAGGAGATCTATACCATCCTGGTTAACACGGTGAAAACTCTGTCTCTACTAAAAATACAAAAAATTAGCTGGGCGTAGTGGCACGTGTCTGAAGTCCCAGAGACTCGGGAGGCTGGCACAGAAGAATCGCTTGAATCTGGGAGGCGGAGATTGCAGTGAGCCGAGATCGTGCCTCTCTGTACTCCAGCCTGGGAGACAAACGGAGACCTCGTCTTAAAAAATAAATAAAGAGGCTGGGCGTGGTGGCTCACGCCCGTAATCCCAGCACTTTGGGAGGCCAAGGCAGGTGGATCAGAAGGACAGGGGATCGAGACCACCCTGGCCAACATGGTGAAACCCCGTCTTTAAAAAATAAATAAATAATAAAAGAAAAAATATTTTTTTTCCCCTCGGGAACGGTAAAATTAGGATATAATTTTTTCTGCAAGAGCATAAATTTGATTGGAAGGAGTAAAGTGCATCGTATGCCCAGAAACGTGACTAACACTTCAATTACCATCATTATTCGGAAACTGAGGTAAGAGGACCAGTTAAGGTCAGGCCCAAGGTCATCATCTGGACTGGGCTCCAATTGGGCTGGGCCATAGCAGAACTGTACCCCACCCCAAGTTCCATGAATCTTTTTTGCAGGATTAGAGTCCACCTCGGTAGTTGTCGTGGCCACAAATCGCATCGCTTCTGGTTAAGTCCAGGAGAATCTGGAATTCCGGAGGGCAACCAGGCCAGAAGGCGATGTAACTGCCTAAGATTGACCAACCCCAACGCGGGAGGCGGGACGACAGTCACTGATTTGCCAGCATGACGCCGGTCTGCGATTGGCCAGTGCCGTCCTGGGCGTGTCGGTAAACGGGGCTGCGACGGTTTCCCATAGGCTGGCACAGAAAGGGGCGAGGCAACAAGAGTACAAAGTTACCAATCGGCATGCGTGACGTAAGGCAATTCTTTTTCCGATTGGTCCGTGAAGCTCTGGAGGGCGTATACAGCTTCGTTCAGAGATCAACCTTGGGATAGAACGCCTGCCTTTTATTGGCCAGTACTCTTCGGGGCGGGCAATGTGGCGCTCTGAGGCTGCCTGCGATTGGTCTATGCGGCGCGGCGCGGGGCGGGTCTGCCTTATGCGATTGGCCGGGACTCCGAAGGGGCGGGCAATTTGGGATCGACGGTGTTTCGCCACTGGTCCGCGCAGCGGGAACGGAGCGGTACGCCGGTTCCTGGACTTCCGGAGACGATGGCTCGGGGCAGCTGGCGCCGGCTGCACCGCCTGTTGTCCGCGGGGCAGCTTCTGTTCCAGGGGCGCGCTCTGCTCGTCACCAACACGCTGGGCTGCGGCGCCCTTATGGCGGCCGGGGACGGCGTGCGCCAGTCCTGGGAGATCCGCTCCCGGCCCGGCCAGGTTTTCGACCCGCGGCGCTCCGGTGAGGACGCCACACTGCTTAGTCCTTCACCCCGGGCGACCTTTGATCCCGACACCAGACCTGCGGGCCGTGACCCCTGACCTGTGGCCTCGGTCCCCCGCAGGACCCTTGCCCTTACCGCGCCTCTCCCCGGGTCTCTGTCTTCCCGCAGCCCTGGGACTCCGTCACCTCCCAACTCCCGGGGGTCTCTGCCCGCTACCTAGGAGCCTCTGGAGCCGCGCCTGCTGGTGGGGCTTGTAGTGGAAGAATGCACGGGTGGGCTCTTCCCGTTTTCCCGGTGAGGCTGAGGCTCGGGGATGGCACTGGGCTTACCCAGGCCTTAGCCAGGGAGGGAGGGAATGGACTGGGAAATTTCCCGGCCCGACCCAGCCCGCTGACTTACACTCTTATAGCAAGCATGTTTGCGGTGGGCTGCAGCATGGGTCCCTTCCTGCACTACTGGTACTTGTCGCTGGACCGCCTATTCCCTGCGTCCGGCCTCCGAGGCTTCCCAAATGTTCTCAAGAAGGTCCTCGTGGATCAGCTGGTAGCCTCTCCCGTGCTGGGCGTCTGGTACTTCTTGGGTAAGGAGCCTCCTAAACCTCGGCTCTGCCTCTCATAGGTCGGGAGGGGTGGAGCCAGCTTTGTGTTAAGAAGGTTGCAGAGGTGCCTTTCCGATGTGCCCCGTGTTCGGGTGGCCCTGGACTAGGAGCCAGGTCCCAGTGGGGACAGGACAGACCAGGCTGATGTGAACGCTGACGAGTGTAGGAGGGACCAGAACAGTATCTGATGGGGCCGCCCTGGGCGGGAAGTTGAGAGTATTTCCCAAAAGAGGGCACACTCAGTTGAGACGTGAAGAGGGAACTGGCGGGCAGAAAGAACAGCTAATGCAAAGGCCTGATGCTTGAAGGAAGAGGAATTGAGGCTGGACTTCATGGGGTGCAACCGTCCCAGCCCTAGGCTTGGTAAAGACAGCGGTGTTCATAGAGGAGTCGCTCATTCTCTACCTCCCAGCCCGGCTTCCTGGTCTGTGATGGAGCCGTAATAAAAATGCCTCATCTTCAGGGTGTGTCTCCTTTGGGGCACGTGTTTGCATGTTTATAACCTCTCTCTCACTGGGACTGACTTGCTCTGTTTTGTCCCTACACCAGCCACTTGATTCTGTCTATCCCATCTGAAAGTCCCTGTCTCTCTGGGGTGGGGGCTCTCAGGTCCAACGCCAGCCCGCCATCGTGAGCCCATCTTGTCATCTCAGCAGTACTTCCTGGCCTCTAACATTCTCATTTCTTGGTTTCTTTCCCAGGCCTTGGCTGCCTGGAGGGCCAGACACTGGGTGAGAGCTTCCAGGAGCTGCGGGACAAGTTCTGGGAATTCTACAAGGTGGGAGCACCCGCCCCTTGCACATGTCCGGCCCCGCCCCCTCATGGCTTTGGCCCCGCCCCTCATCGTGCCCCGCCTCTCCCTGTAGGCCGACTGGTGCGTGTGGCCTGCTGCGCAGTTGGTGAACTTCCTCTTCGTGCCCCCCCAATTCCGAGTCACCTACATCAATGGCCTGACGCTGGGCTGGGACACATACCTGTCCTACTTGAAGTACCGGGTGAGTATGGTGGGCATACTAGGCACCGAGGGGACTGCTCAGGGGGATACAGGGATGGGTAGGACAGGGCTGAGGAGGGACCTGGAGGGATGAAGCAGGCTTCTCACCAGATGCCTTGTCTTGTGTGGACAGAGCCCAGTTCCCCTGACACCCCCAGGCTGTGTGGCCCTGGACACCCGAGCGGACTGAGCTGCCTGCCCCCTGGGACCAGATGCAAGACTGACTCCTGGCGGACCACACGCTTTGCCAGAAGGGGAATGGGTCTCTGCAGCAAGCTGGGGTCCCGGGCCGCGTCCCAGCATCCCTCCAGCTCCCGGGCACTGGGCTGAGCTGCCCTTTCCAAGCTCACTTCTGGGACTCAGTTTCCCCAGCTAGAACACACCTGTGAAGATGGATGATCATCCCCTAGCCCTTCTCAGCAGGAGCCTCATGTGACCTGTGACCAAGATGTCCCATCTTCAGCACGGGGCCCACCCAGCCAACCAGTCCCAAGCACCAGCCCCGCAACACTGCCGTCCAGGTGGCTCTGGGCCAAGCCGCCAATCCGGAGCTCCCTCAGGTCCTGCAACTACGGGGGCGATATGGCCCATCCCCTCAGAGCAGGCTCAGGCCTGGAGTTGGCCCCCAAAAGTTTCAGGCAGGGCCGGGAAGCCTCTGGGTCTCTTCCCTGGTCGTGAGCTGTGGACAATCCATTAAATTCTTTCTGTCATGTAATTGAAACTGCTGGCTGGGTGCAGTGGCTCACACCTGAAATCTCAGCCCTTTGGGAGGCTGAGGTGGAAGCATCGCTTAAGGCCAGGAGTTCGAGACCAGCCTGGGCAACGTAGCAAGACCCTGTCTCTATTTATATTTACAAATAAAAATAACAAAAGCAAATGCTGTGGATGACCAAAGCCAGGGTGGGCAGGGCCCGGCGCTCACAGGGACACACGTGGTCCATTCGCTTTATTGGATGTATGTAGTGTTTCATGATATCTCCTAAGGAACTGGGGGGCACATTTGACACTCATGAGGTCAGAACAGGTCTGGTGGGCAGGGGGGTCCCAGGGTGGTGAATACCCACAGCACACCCCTCACCAAAAGAAAAAACTTGGGGGAGAGGAGCCTGGCAGGCCAGACTCTGACCCCCATGGTCCGCACGGGGAACCCCCCAACAGCGGCCTCGGCCCACCGCAGCAGAGCCGAGGGGCTGGCAGGCCTGGCCACCTCCCATCGCCCGATCAGCCTGCTCTAGGGTGTCATCTGGCCCCCTCTTCACAACCGACAACTGTGGATGGGGGTGAATTTAAAAAAAAGGCGGGGGGGGGTGTCAGGAGGGGGAGGGGTGAGTTCACGAGGCCACGACACACCACAGCTGAGCGGGGAAAGGGTTATATGTACAGGACAGGCAGGGCTGGGGTCGGGCAGGGGAGCCCGGGCCCCTGCGGGACGTCTTCAATAAATAAATAGCTACAATAATAAATAAGGGTGGCGGGCTAAGTTGGGAGGGGGGGTCTTGTGCCCATGGCTGGTGGGGGCCGGGTCAGGCCTGGGGAGGTGGGGAAGATGGGGAAGAGGGGCAAGGGGGCGGGGTGGCTCTCAGCAGGCGCAGTCCTGGTGCGGCGGTACCTGCTGGTCACTGAGCTGTGGGCCCTGCTTGGCGCCTGTGACCGCAGGGTCCGCCGTGTCCAAAGACTCCGACATCTTCTCACAGATGACGTCCACCAGGCGCTCAAAGGTCTGCTTGACGTTAATGTTGTCCTTGGCGCTTGCCTCAAAGAACTCGAACCCTGTGGTCAGGGAAGGCAGGGATGAGGACCCTGGCCACGCCCCACGCCAACTCCTAGAGATGCCTCTCTGAGGAAAGGGAACACCTGGAGAGCCTTGTGCCAAGCAACTTATTGAAGGACTGGCAAGTCCTGCAGGGAAGCCACACTGAATTAGGTCGACTGCATTTCTTTTTTTTTTTTTTTTTTTTTTGCGACAGGGCCTTGCTCTGTTGCCGAGGATGGAGTATAGTGGCGTGATCATAGCTCACTGCAGTCTTGACCTCCTGGGCTCAAGTGATCCTCCACCTCATCTCCTAAAGTACTGGGATTACAGGCATGAGCTACCGCACCTGGCTTCCTGCCTTTCCTTAAAATTGTGTCTCATTGTCCTTAGGGACCTGGCAAGACATGCCCAGCCCCATGCACTGGGCCTGGAAGCCTCTGACACTCAGATCCAGCCGTGACCTCTCCCTGCTCACACACCCTCTGTGGCTCCCTGTTGCCCTCCAAAGAGTCCCAGCCTCTCAGCACATGGTTGAGGCCCTCTGTAATCAGCCACATTTTCTCCAGCTGATCCTCATGTTCCAGTCATGCGAAACTTACCAAAACGCGCAGGATCTCTCTCACCGCAAGCCTTTACCCAAGCTGTTTCTTCTGCCTAAAACACCCTTCTTCCAAGCACCAGAGTCCACTGCCCGCCTCTCCAGGAAGCCTGGCTCCCCCCATGGGCTCCTCCTGCCCAGGTCCCTCCCTGCACCCCAGAGGTCCCTCAAGGCACCCCTACCTGCCTCTCAAGCCCAGCAACACCCAACAAAGCATTGGACAGTGAGTATCAGAATAAATCTGTAACTTTCTGCACAGTGAACTCCTACACAGCCCTCAGGATCCAACTCAAACGGCCCCTGGATGAAGGCAAGTTTGCAGAACGTGTGAATGAATTACCTGGCTTAGCTGTAAGACCTTGGGTGCATACCCTCCCCTCTCTGGACCTCAGTGTCCTTTTTCTAGCCTTGTGGGTCTCTGGCCCAGCTGGGCACTCACCAAGGTGGTCAGCTAGCTGCCGGCCACGTTCTGACGACACCACCCGCTCATCCTCCATGTCACACTTGTTTCCCACCAGCAGCACCTGCGCATTGTCCCACGAGTAGGTCTTGATCTGGGTGGACCTGCAGGAGGCAGCGATGGGGACAGGTTAGGGCGTCCAGGATCCCAGCTCCACCCTGACGGGCTGGTGTGGAGCCTGTGTCCTTGTCCCAAAACCCTGAAGCTTGGCCCTCCAACCTCCCCCACATCCTTTCCCCCCATGTGCCCCTCGTTCACCCCACTCCAGCCCCCAATTGACCCATTATTGTTTGTGTGTTTGGGGTTTTTTTGAGATGGAGTCTCACTCTTGTTGCCCAAGCTGGAGTGCAATGGCACGATCTCGGCTGACTGCAACCTCTGCCTCCCAGGTTCAAGTGATTCTCCTGCCTCAGTCTCCCAGATAGCTGGGACTACAGGGGTGCATACCAGGCCTGGCTGATTTTTTTCTATCTTTAGTAGAGACGGGGTTTCATCATGCTAGCCAGGATGGTCTTGATCTCCTGACCCTGTGATCCCCCAACCTCAGCCTCGCAAAGTGCTGGGATTACAGGCGTGAGCCGCCGCACCCAGCCATGTTATGGGTTTTTTTCTTTGAGATGGAGTCTGCCTCTGATGCCCAGGATGGAGTGCAGTGGCGCAATTTCGGCTCACTGCAACCTCCACCTCCTGACTTCAAGTGGTTCTTGTGCCTCAGCCTCCCGAGTAGCTGGGATTACACGTGTACACCACCACTCCCGGCTAATTTTTTTATTTTTAGCAGAAACAGGGTTTTACCATGTTGGCCAGGCTGGTCTCGAACTCCTGACCTCAAGTGAGCCTCCCACTTTGTCCTCCGAAAGTGCTGGGATGACAGGCGTGAGCCACTGCACCAGGCCCAACAGACCCATTATTGAACACGGCAGGCTCCATCCTTCATCGTAGCCTGTATCCTGCCAGTAACACACTTTTCCTCTTTCTGTCAATACTGCCACATCCTCCAGGAAGCCTCTCTGGGAATACTGCCACCTCCTCCAGGAAGCCTTCCTGGAAGTGCCACCTTCCTGCATCTCCCAAGAACTCCTCATATGCTCTTTCCTCCCTCTGGGTGTTTATTCCAGAAAAGCTACCTGCTATTTTTTTTGGAGACAGCCTGATTCTGTTACCCAGGCTGGTCTTGAACTGCTGTACGCAAGCAATGCTCACCCACCTCAGTCTCCTGAATAGCTGAGATTACCAGCATACGCCACTACACCCAGTGAGAAAGCCTCCTTTTCTTTTCTTTCCTTTTTTTTTTTTTGTAGAGACAGGGTTTGCTATGTTGCCCAGGCTGGTCTCAAACTCCTGGGCTAAAGCAATCCACTTGCCTTGGCCTCTCAAAGTGCTGGAATTATAGGCATGAACCACCCAGCCCAGAAATCATCTTTTTTTTTTTTTTTTTTGAGACGGAGTTTCACTCATGTTACCCAGGCTGGAGTGCAATGGCGCGATCTCGGCTCACCGCAACCTCCGCCTCCTGGGTTCAGGCAATTCTCCTGCCTCAGCCTCCTGAGTAGCTGGGATTACAGGCACGCGCCACCATGCCCAGCTAATTTTTTGTAGTTTTAGTAGAGACGGGGTTTCACCATGTTGACCAGGATAGTCTCGATCTCTTGACCTCGTGATCCACCCGCCTCGGCCTCCCAAAGTGCTGGGATTACAGGCTTGAGCCACGGCGCCCGGCCTGAAATCATCTTTTTTTTGAGATGGAGTCTCACTCTGTCGTCCAGGCTGGAGTGCAGTGGTGCAATCTAGGCTCACTGCAACCTTCACCTCCTGGGTTCAAGTGATTCTCCTGCCTCAGCTTCCGAAGTAGCTAGGACTACAGGTGTGAGCCACCATGCCTGGGTAATCTTTTGTGTTTTTAGTAGAGGCAGGTTTCAGCATGTTGGCCAGGATGGTCTCGAACTCCTGAGCTCAAGATCTGTCCACCTTGGCCTCCCAAAGTGCTAGGATTACAGGCGTGAGCCACTGTGCCTGGCCCAGAAATCTTTTTAAAGAGTTTTTACTTCTGAGCAGAAAATGGCGATGTTTGCCACCTGTAACCTATGCCAGCTCTCCTTAAAGTCTCTGTCTCCACCCTACAGTTGCAGCTGTTTTTTCTCTATGTTTAGAGTTTTACTTTTCTATCTGAAACCCTTCCCTGACCCCTACATTTTATTTATTTATTTATTTATTTATTTATTATTTTTTAGAGACGGAGTCTCACTCTGTCACCCAGGTTGGAGTGCAGTGGCACAATCTCGGCTCACTGCAACCTCCGTCTCTCAGGTTCAAGCGATTCTCCTGCCTCAGCCTCCCGAGTAGCTGGGATGACAGGCACCCACCACCATGCCCGGCTATTTTTTTGTACTTTTAGTAGAGATGGGGTTTCACTACATTCACCAGGTTGGACTTGAACTCCTGACCTTGTGATCCGCCCCCCTCGGCCTCCCAAAGCGCTGGGATTACAAGCATGAGCCACCACGCCACTTTGTCTCAGAGATGATGGTCCCAGAATGAGTGTGGAAGGCCAGGAGCAATGACTCCCTCCTGTAATCCCAGCACTTTGGGAGGCTGAGGCGGGCAGAACACTTGAGCCAAGGAGTTCAAGACCAGCCTGGGCAACATAGCAAAACCCCATCTCAACTAAAAATACAAAAACTTAGCCAGGTGTGGTGGTGTGCACCTGTAGTCCCAGCTACTTGGAAGGCTGAGGCAGGAGGATTACTTGAGCCCAGGAGGCCAAGGCTGCAGTGAGCCCTGATCGTGCCACTGGACTCCAGTCTGGGTGACAGAGTAAGACTCTCTCTCAAAAAAAAAAAAAAAAAAAAAAAGTGAGCGGGGTGCACTCACCAGTCCTGCACAGCATTGAAGGATTCTTCGTTGGTGATGTCATACATGAGGATGAAGCCCATAGCGCCCCGGTAGTAGGCAGTGGTGATGGTCCGGTATCGCTCCTGCCCTGCAGTGTCCTAGAGAGGAAGAGATGAAGGTCAGAGAGGACCCACACATCAGGCCCTCGGAGAGGAAATGAGCTCTGATGT